AGCAGCTTGAGGTTCAGGGGCAAGGTCGGACGGAGCGTCCTCGGACAAGTCCACTATCACCGTCTCGGGAGCATCAGCCGAGGTTTGCATCGGTGTAGGGGCTTCATCCTCGGCAGCAACCTGTGCTTCTGCCTGCTCCATCTCTGCCGAGGGCACATACTTGTGCACTTGGAAGAGAGGGGAGTCTGACGGGACTCCAGCAGCCTGGAGCGCCTCGTCCCACCCTTTCTTGAAGAACTCTTTGCTATTTTCTTCAAGAGCGGGGAGCACGTCATCGGCAAACTCCTCCAGAAGTTGTTGCTCCGACTTCCGGTTCAGCTCCTCGGCTCTGATCCTATCTAGCTCCTGGGTAAGGGCCAGGCAGCTTTCCTCGGAGCCCACTGCCCTCTCCTCCGCCGCAGAGAGCCGCTGCGTTTGCTCAGTAATCCTCCTCTCAGCATCGGCAAGTGCGGCACTTAGCTTCTCAGCGCCCGACTTGGCCGATTCAGCGTCCTTGAGGAGCTGCTCTATTTGGGCAGCCTGCCCCACCAGGGTAGAATCCCTGGCAGCAACATCTTCCGTTGCCCGAGCAAGGGCAGCTTCCGCTTCCGCCTTCTGATCCTTGGCCCTCTGAAGGTCCATCCTGGACGCGTGGTACCGACCAGCAATGATAGAAATCTGCTGGGTAGCCTGTAAAGGAAGGAAAAGAGTGTTAAAAACACAAAAATAGAAAACAAGAGTGAAGGGATCAAAACAGGAATAAACTCACCACCAGGGAATTCTGGATCATGGAGCGGAACAACACGTTGGTTGATCGCCCCCTATGAGCCTCCATGTCGGCCTCGAAATGCAGTGTCTCACTCACTGCATTAGCGACATGAGGATCCGACAGAATAGAATCATCGACCCTGATCACTCTGTTCATGTGATCAGTGGCTCGAGGATTCCACTCTGCGGCCTCCCCCCGAGACGGAACGGGAGGAGGGGTTTGCTGTTGCTGCTGCTGCTGCTGCTGCTGTTGCTGTTGTCGGGGCTGCTGTTGTTGTTGCTGTTGTGGGGGAGCAGGCGGTAACCCACGATCCCTCCCGCTTTGAGGTTGAGCGGGAGATGCCCTGGGTCCCCGGCTGAGGCCGTCATGCCGATGCTTTACCCTCCTCTCTTCTTCCACCTGAGGATCCCGGTCTCGCACCTGACCCTGACCGGGAGCCCTCGAAGAATTGGCGGAACTGGTTCCTGCCGGAGTACCGCCGGTCGTCCCTCGGCCTCTCCCGGCTGCGAGGGATTGCCTCTGCCTAAGAAACCCCAAATTGATGCGTGGGGTGTTGGACATCGCTTCCTCGAGAGCGTCTTCGGCGTCCAAAGTTTGGAGAATTTGAAAATCCGGCCACAGGTCGCCTCCCGAAGTCCCCACCTCGGCGTCCGAAGGAGCAACGTCCTCTCTGACCCCGACCTCAGCAACTCCTTCTACCTCTCCCTCTGAAGCCCGATCCGGGTCTTCCTCCAAGTTCTGCTCGACCTCTAACCTCGCCGCCTGATCAAAGAGCTCTGACCACTGTGAAGGCTCGAAAGGTTGAGGGAGCTGTGAGAACTTCTTATACCCAGGGGTATAGTGCAGCAAATTATGGGCAGCTCGGCCAAATCCGTCGGCGCCCGTGAAACTCCAAACCGTTATTAAGTCGGCAAAATTGACCAGCGACCGAGGGGGTGGAGCTGTTTCCCGAGAAGGAATACCTGCACAACAAAAAAGATTGTCATAAACATGAGAAGTCCCAAGAAACAAATAAAAAGACCCAAAGGAACCGACGTACTTGTCGTTCTCCATTCCCGAGGGCAAAAAAGGTCATTGTACTCGGGACCGACACCCCTCTCCCAACATCCCTTGAAGATCAAGATGTCGTCCTTGTACCCCTTGTCCGAGTCAGGAAGATGGGTTACAAGGTACATAGAGGGGTCCCTGGCTTTGAGGTAGAAATGTTGGTGGGGCATGACTCTTAGGAGGGAGTAACAGAAAAGAAGATCATTGAGCCCAATATTCACCCCGAGGCGCCTATTGAGCTCTAGGACCCCCATAATTATCCGAAAGACGTTGAGGCAGCATTGCCCGGGGAAGAGACGGAAGCGAGACAGGAACTGAAGAAGCAGGGGGGGTAAAGGAAACCTAATGCCACCCTCTATGATGGCCTTGGTATAAAAAGGCATGGCATCCGCGGCCCCGAAGGTAGGAGAGTTCAACAAAGGGTTAAAGCCCACTACGTCCACGCTCGGAGGGATGCCATACTTCGCCCTGAACCTATCAATCTGTGCCTCGCCTGTCACCTTGTACTTCCCTGACCCCGAGGGACCAGCCGATGGATTCTCGGGAACAGGGCGACGACGAGGCATCTCTAAAAGAAAGGGAAGAAAAAGGTGTTCTCTATTGAAAACCCGAGGAAGTTCCCCGAGGGTTTAAATCAAGACGTACCGACCGGATGACACCACTGTTCAAATCGGAAAACAAGAAGGCTAGGAGGACGATAAAGAAGAAGGTTGTGAAACTCACCAGAAGACGTCGGAAACGGAGTTTTTTCAGGAAAAACTTTGAAAAATGACTCGCACCGGAAGGACCAGGAGTCAACAATGGGTTTTTCTGACTGAGGTTTTAAAAGAAGATGCTGTCAACGATGGCTGAGGAAACAAAAACTCCGGCGAGCAGATCAGAAAGGGCGTATTCTGGGTCAGAGATCGGAATGGCAAAACGAAGGAAACCGGAGAAGAACCCCCTTTATATAGGGGGGAAAACTGTCATCATTGGGCGGGAGAACCAAAAAAAATAGCGCATTTAATGCGCACGACATCCCAAGACGGGGAAAGCTGCTCGAGGCCATAATGAAGGACGGATGGCAGTTGGAAAACCCTTCGTCTCCTTACAACGCGTGTCCTCGGTGTCAGAAGATCGAAGGCTGGGGGGCAGTTGATGGGACTCTTCTGAAAAGCCCTAAGATGATGACACGTGTCCTCGGGATATTTGGAACAGTGTTGCCGGATGTAAGCACCATCGGCGAAGAGCGTCCTTTACCCCGAGGTACCTCTCATATAGGATCACACATTCGGTATGTTATACAACAAACACGTGTCCTCGGTCACACGTGTACCTCGGGGACACACCACCCCTTGGTCCCGAGGTGAGCCTTTCCTCGGCGCCGAGGGTCACTCCATCCTGGACGCTTCCTCTACTCCCGGATAAGGCTACTGACATACTGGACATCAGCCTATGCCAGTATGGATTAGTCATCATGACCTCTTCTTACACAAGTAATGTCAGAACGTGCTGGAATACCGACGTAACAGCCAATAAGGGATGGACGCGTGGCAAATAATGTCACATCCGAAGCAGACAAACCGCATGCCGCTGCTGACACGCGACTTGGGAAAGCAAACAATTAATTACACCCTTCTGTTGACGAGACCGCATTTAATGCGGTAAGGTTCGGATATGAAAGGCAATAAATGCTCTTATTACAGAGCATTTACTGCATCCTTCCCGAAAGGAGCATATTGTACCGTCGGCGTCCCGACAACTCACCATTGATTGCTCGGGACCCCGAGCAATCAATTAGAGAAGACATTCCTCATCAAATGATTACACACGCTACCTATGCCTGATGATTACCTACTGACCACACTGACAGCAATCATGATCTTCTAAGGTATAAATACCCCTCCCAAAAGACAAAGCGGGTATGCAATCTCAAACTCTCAACTACGAACTATCCTTCTCAGTGTTTTCTCCTTCCTCTCTCTCATTCAAAGACTGACTAGACCGTCGGAGGGGATACGCCGGAAAACACTCCGGGGCCCTTCTAACTTGTTCTCTTTTGTCCCAGGAAATACCTTTCGCACGTACAGGATCGTTCCTCCTTTCCCAGGATCTTCCTTTACCGTTCCAGATTACCACCGTTCCTGGTAGGCTGTTTCGAGCAGTGTGTTTGGCCACTCAACCGGCTCACCCAAAGTTCACCAGGGGAGAGATCTGTTCCCAATATTTTATATATATCGTGCAGGATCAAGCCCGCACAATTGTGTTGCTGTTTTTTTTTTAACCTACATAAAATCATTTAAAAAAAAATTCATTAACATAAGCGCTTATACTGTAAATCCTCAACACCCACTTGCAGTAGGTTTGCAATTCAATAAAACCCACACAGTGACATATCACAGTAGAGAGAGAAAACGGCAGAAGAAACGGACGTCAAAAAATGAGTGTATTTCGCTGTGTTAGCACTTATCTGACATATATTATTGAGGTGGTGTCTCTTAATTAGTGTTGACTACCGGCCGTCAATGACAGCTGATAAGTATGAAATATTTTCTCTAATTTTATAAATTTATAGTCTAAATAATATGATAGTTGATTTAAATTTTTTCATTCAGTGTAATGTCATTTAAATTTTAATAAAAACTTTAAATGCTATTCTACCATATCATTTGAGTTTCAAATTTAATCTCAAAATTTGATCGGTGTTCTGTATATAGTTGGTGAACCAGTTAGTACATAGTGAGGAAGACCTGAGAGTTGAGATTGTCCGATGACTTCGAAGTCATCCTTGAGTTTAAAGCCTTCAATAATAATGATGCACTTGGACTTTTAGGACTGGTACCAAAAAGAATACAGAACCCATCTGGAGCTTTTGGAATTCATCAGTTTACTGCAGTGACTTCTCACTTCTGATTCAAGCGTACGTACGTCCTGGCACTACTTTTTCCATTTCTTCACATACTACTACTATTACTGTGATTTCTCCATTGAAGCAAAAGGGCAGTATAGCAAGGTCAGACAATCGACATATATCAATAGAACTACAGTTACTACATCATTTCTTCTTACTAGCTACGGCGTTGTTGTAATTGTTTGATCATTTCATATATACTAGTTGAAGTAGTAGAATTAGAACGCTCTCTTTCTCTCTCTCTATATACTACGTAGTCTTTTTAGTAAAGATCTAAATGATGCAGATTATTCCGGTACTAGCTAGCTAGAAGCCATGAACATGGAAGAAATGGAGGGGACTGAGACTGGGACTGAGAGAGAGGATTTGGAACCACGGCAGAATTGGGATGAAAGTGAGGAGGATTCAAAGAAAATCCAATCATGGACAAAGCAGATCACGTTACGGGGACTGATTGCAAGCATACTGATTGGAGGCATCTACAGCATCATAGCCATGAAACTAAACCTTACAACTGGACTTACTCCTCACCTCAATGTCTCCGCTGCTCTTCTCGCATTTGTGTTCATGCGTACATGGATAAAGTTGCTTTCCAAAGCCGGAATTGCCTCAGCTCCTTTCACTCCGCAGGAGAATACTATGATACAAACCTCTGCAGTCGCATGTTATAGCATTGCTGTTGGAGGTAATTCATTTGAGCATTGAGGTTTCAGTTCGATCTTTCCTGTCCATAAAATAATGAAAACAAATTTCTTAAACATTTTTTTTTTTGCTTTAGTACTTATCAAACATATTTTTAGGCGGATTTGGGTCTTATCTCTTGGGATTAAACAAGAAGACATATGAGCTGGCAGGAATTGACACTCCAGGAAATTCTCCAGGGAGCTACAAGGAACCTGGGATTGGTTGGATGATCGGCTTTCTTTTCCTAGTTTGTTTCATTGGTCTCTTTGTTTTGATTCCTCTCCGAAAGGTATACACTTTTCTGTGAATCTTGTGCTTAATTCTTTGAATTTCAAAATTTACTTTTCATTCAATTTTCCAAGACATTGAAGGGTTTCCATAGTACCCGGAATATGTTTTGGATGATAGTTTTCTCTCTCTTCTTCTCTCCTTGGTGCTAAAGATACTAATCATGTGCTTGGGCAATTCAACTTGCTAATAATTATAAGTAAGCCAACGTAGATTTGATATTACCTCATCACTTATGGGATGTTTTGGAGCCCTGGTTGGTTTTTTCCTTATATTCTAATAATCTAAGCTTAGAACGATGTCATAATTATTTTGCTTTTTTTTTTTTTGTTGAGAAAATTATATGTTTTTATACCCTTTAAATAAATTTTTCATGGGGTTCCAATTACCTTGCAGATCTTGATAGTTGACTATAGATTGACCTTTCCAAGTGGAATGGCAAGTGCAGTTCTTATCAATGGATTTCATACACTTGGAGACAAGATGGCTAGGTACCTATTCCCTCTTTGCAATTTTAACCTCACCTGTCATTACATTCCCATTAACTCAGTCTGAGGGCTTAGAGTAGATGTTCCCATTGTAATTTGCAGGAAGCAAGTACGCGGGTTCATGAAATTCTTCTCATTCAGTTTTTTGTGGGGTTTTTTTCAATGGTTTTACACTGGAAAAGAAGAATGTGGATTCTCACAGTTCCCTACTTTGGGATTGCAAGCTTGGAGGCAAACGTACGTGTTGTTCTAATTTCAATAGATTAAAACACTACTACACTTCTTAAAACATTATTCATACAGCTGAACATCTCTGAGCATGATTTTTTTACTGATTACACGTTGTTGGTTACTTGGTTTTGCTTAGATTCTACTTCGATTTTAGCATGACATACGTGGGAGCTGGAATGATCTGTCCCCACGCAGTGAATTTGTCTCTGCTTCTTGGAGGTGTACTCTCATGGGGTATGATGTGGCCACTTATTCATAAACTTAAAGGAGATTGGTTTCCTGCTGATTTACCAGAAACCAGTATGAAGAGTCTAAATGGTTACAAGGTCCCTAAATCCTCTCTCTCTAGATCTCTCTCTGTCTCACACACACATACAACACAACACAACACAATTTTTTTTGACTTTCATTATTTACATGTGTTTTTTGGCAGGTTTTTGTCCCCATTGCTCTCATTCTAGGAGATGGCCTTTATAATTTCATCAAGATCATGCTCTTCACACTCATAAATATCCACGGGAGATTGAAACAAAAAAACCTCAACTCAGGTAAATTGGGGAGCCTTTTGGGCCCTTGCTGAAGGAGAGAAAAATGCTATAAAATGGTTTGACGCGTATTTGTAAAAAATGACAACTGTTATGTTAGCTTGTAATCTGGTTGAATTTATTGATTTGCCGAAAATTGCATGACCATTGCAGCTGCTGGTAGCCAGAACAAGGCCCTTGGTGATTTAAAACAAGACGAAGTCTTCATCAGAGAAACCATTCCCATGTGGATAGGAGCTGTTGGCTACGTCGCCTTCGCCATTATTTCTATCATTGCCATTCCGTTCATATTCCCTGAGATTAAGTGGTATTATGTCATCGTAGCCTACGTTTTTGCACCATCTCTAGCCTTCTGCAATGCATATGGAGCTGGTCTGACTGATATAAATATGGCATACAATTATGGTAAAGTGGGTCTATTTGTGCTAGCTGCATTGGCTGGAAAAGAACACGGCGTGGTGGCAGGGATGGCTGGGTGTGGTCTGATCAAGTCTGTTGTTTCTGTTTCTTGCAATCTGATGCAAGATTTCAAAACAGGTCATCTTACTTTCACGTCCCCTCGGGCAATGCTTCTGAGTCAGGCCATTGGCACAGCTATAGGTTGCATAGTGGCCCCACTCAGCTTCTTTCTATTCTACAAAGCGTTTGATGTGGGCAATCCAAATGGAGAGTTTAAGGCTCCTTTTGCAATAATTTACAGAAACATGGCGATTCTTGGTGTTGAAGGCTTCTCAGCTTTGCCCCAGCACTGCTTGCAACTTTGTTACGGTTTCTTTGCCTTTGCAATTGTAATTAACCTTGTGAAAGACTTTTCTCCGAAGAAGATAGGGAAGTGGATGCCAATACCAATGGCCATGGCAGTACCCTTCTTAGTTGGCGCTTACTTCGCTATAGACATGAGTATTGGTACTCTGGTTGTGTTTGCATGGCAAAAGCTTAACAATCAGAAGGCAGAGCTGATGGTTCCAGCAGTTGCTTCTGGTTTAATCTGCGGTGAAAGTATGTGGATCCTTCCTGCATCATTTCTTGCCTTGGCTAAAATCACTCCCCCCATTTGTATGAAATTCTTGGCTTCTTAGTGATAGTTAAAATAAAGGGTGGCTCAACTCCACCAGACTTCTATCACTGCAAGGTCTAGAGAGGGAACAAGATGTATACAGCCTTATTTCTGCATGTGGAGATACTATTTCTGTGACTCGAACCACCCTTGAAGCTCAAATTATAATGAAGCACTACTTTGCGTAGCACCAAAGCCCACCCTCTTTATAAAGATAGGTCTGTTTTTAAACTTTGTTCTAAGTGTCTTAAGTTGGTGTGTAAAGGACTTTGAGGTCCCCTAAAGTAATTCTGTTGAGGGGAAAAAATGAGTCACACAAAGATGATGAATGTAAGTATACTACCAAACGAGATTGAAATGCATCATATTGGCTTTTAACTGCAGGTGAGTCTGTCTTAATCTTTCATTGAATTTTGGCTGATGGCGTTTGTGTAATTGATCCCTCATGGGCTAACATCAGAATTATGGCACCCACCCAGCACCTGAATTTGGCACCCAAACACCAGATGTGTGCTTGTAGTCTGGTCGACCTCAATGATAATAAATATCTCAGTGCTGCTCATGTTTTGGTACGCGGGAAAAATAGCGTGTGGACTTTCTTTTGTTTGGTAGGAGGAAAAGGGCAGGGAAACTGGGAAAGGGAAGAGTGGAGCGGCTGCATTTCTATTACAAATAATATTATTTCAACATAATTCATTAACCTAACTGTTGTTTGCCTTGGATTGATAGTAATTGATCAGAACATAATTCATATCCTCTCTCTCTCTCTCTCTCTCTCTCTCTCTCTCTCCAAGCAATCCCCTCCGTCCCCAGCCAAACCCATCATCTGCAACACCGATACACCCCTACCCCACCCGCACCGTGTGTAGACCCACTCCTCACCAATGAATTCGCCTTTGAAATTCTCCATTGAAATTGATTCCGAAATTCTTCTCTGATTTCTCCGCTTTGCAACAATTTGCCCCTGTTTTCAACACTCTGCAAAACTCCCTTTTTTTTTTTTTTTTCAAATTAGGGATTTTTTTGTTTATTATTTTTTAATTTTGATTTGGTGGTGGTGGTGGTGGTGGAGTGGCAATAGTGGTTGTGCAATGGTAATGGTGATGGTGGTTAGTGGCTGTGGTGACGGCTTGCAACGGTGGTTGCTGCCTGTGTGATGGTAGTTGCAAGGACGACAATCCTTTTTTGTGGGCGGCGGATGGGAGAGGTAGAAGTAGAGAGAGGGCATTGTAGTGAAAATTAGTTGAAATAATAAAGGTATTTAGGTATTTTTCCAGATTCAGTGATGGACATTCTCATTTGTACTTTGGTCAGGAGTAGAGGAAGATTTTGTCATTTGCTTTGTGACATCTAATGAGCTTCCCACACTGATTTAAATATTGAAATCGGCTATTGATTCTAAGTTGCTGAGTTCATTTCACAGGACTACACTAAACGGGGTGCTTACCAAATTTTTTTTTACCAAATATTTTATCATTTGTGATGTGACATAATTTCCACGGCTAAATGTTAATGAAACTCACTTATTTAACGTCATTTGAGACAGACATTTAAAAAAAAAAAATTTGATAAACATAGATAGCATTACCCTTTTAAACGCACTACTCAATCTCTTTCTTTTTCTTTTGTAGTTCAACCAAAAATTGCTTATAAGCCTCTTGTCCTTTTTGCCATATTTGACACATACATATGGCATTGAAAACTGCAAAGTCCAAAGGAAAGAAAAATGGATTTCGTCATTCCAATTTACTTGATTGTGTGCTGCCACCATCACTCTGAATGAGCTCCGAGTGCGGGCATTACATTACATGATGAATTCCGTAACTTACTTCATACAGGAATAGACTATCGCGTAGAGAAAATTGAAGATCTCCGCAGTTTCAAAGAGGTAGGCAGAGAATGCAATAACAAAATAAAAATGGAAAAGCGGTCAAAGAACAACAAAGTGAGTCAAGGCCTTCGATTAAGGTTTTCTTAAATCTTGTCATGGAGAGTCACCACCAAGTCATGAGCATCATCTAGAAGCTTCCAGACATCCAGATGTCCAGACATGCTATTGCATTCCTTCATGATTTCATCCATGCTGCTATACTTCTCTATGATCAGCTTCTTCTTCTGAAGCACACAGGCCGCTATTGCGTAAAGCAGCAGATCATCAGTAGGAGGGGCTCTTAGCCTCATCCTACCCCATGCAGACTTGGCAATCTCAGCCCTAATTGCTGCCTGATCTGCCCACATCACCTCCCAGAGGCAAAGTGTCTGTTCAAAATTCAACTCCCTCCTGAAGAGAACCACCACCATCCTGTACACGAAAAAACAATCCTCTGCTTGAAGCTTCTCCAGGTGCCTGTAAAGTTGAGAGTCCTTGCATTTGATAATCTTAGACACGATGGTCAACTGCCTTCGGATTCCCACCTCATCAAGGCAGAAGTTATGCCGAGCTTTCCTCATGAAACCGACAAAGCACCAGAAGGCATCATGGTCATGCTCAATAACTGAAATAATTGGAGAGAGTAGATCACTCATCCCCTGGCAGTAACCAATCTCAGAATCATATAGTGCATAGGCTTCAAGTATGGCAACTAGACGAGCAGCATGGAAGATTCTACATGGCTCTAAGTGGTCATAATCCTTCAACCCAACACTCTCAGCCATTCGCTGTGCCTTGATCTCTGACACTGCAGCTTGGGATGGCGTGTATATAATCCATTCAGCATTTGCCCTCACGGCATCAAGGCGGATGATCCGCTGCCATGTAGCAAAATCTTCAGCTGTGTGGGATTCTAATCCACATCCTGACTTGGAGAAAGTAGTATTCACTTCAGCATGCTCATTAATAACAGGTCCTTCGGCTCTTCCTTCAGCAAATGAAGGTTGTGTGTTCTCAGGATCTTCAGAGGAGTCAGATTCAGATTCAGATGATTCTGTGCTAGCTTCAGAGGCATTTTCACAAGTGATTCCACTCTCACCCCCATCTTGTTCCACTACCGTGTTAGATGTTCCAAGGGCTGATCCAAAGACAGGGTGGTTGGTATCCTCATCAACAGGGCTCACTCCCTCAGCAGAAAGGGAATCCAAGGCACTACCAACTTCTTCTGATCCAGGAGAATAACCAACTTGACTAAGGTCACCGCTGTCGTCTTTGGTTCCAGAAGTTTCTCTCAACTTGAAATTCTCATCATTGCATTCTAGGATTTGTCGGCATTGTCTCCGCAAGGTCTCATATTCTTTTCTGTTATGGAAATATATAGATGTAAGTATTAAAATTGAAGTCAGGATGCAAAAGAAAGTGAGATGATGTTTGCCAAATGCATTACACCACTTTCTCGGCCACAGTTACAGTAAAAAAAATCACTGATGGATGTGAGTGAGGAAGGCCATAAGAACAAGAAATACCTCTTCAGAGTTCTAATCAAATCTCTATCTTCCTTAGAACTGTTCAAGTCGTAGCTGTAAAACAGAGCACCTGGTCAGAAATTAGAAAATCTTTCATGTGTATCACCAAAGCAACATAGACGTACAAGAACAAATTATATCAGGCACCACAAAGTACAATGGTAACATAAGCATTTACGAATACCTAGTAGCCAGTAATTTCAAGGAAATATAGGGGCAAAAGAACGTAGCCATATTTTAAAAGATATTATGATATACCGCCCAGCATTGAAGCCACCAAGCAAATGCAGTAACGTTTCATGTGGGGGTTCAGGAGAGAAGAGAAAAGAGAGGATAATGTCATCTCTATGGAAGAGAAAAGAAAAGATGAGAATCCAATTTTAGGGCCAGGGAATTTTGAGAGACAAGAAACAAAAAGAGAATGAATACTCCTCCCATTGGTTGGATGGAATATTAAAAGAAAAGACAGGAAAATCTGTCCGATTCTATAAGCAGAAATAACACAATTAAAAAGGACTTGTTATAACAAATAAGAAGCAAATGGGTAGCCACTGACTCATTTTCTATCTATTTCCTCCCACTTCTGAGTGGGGGAAAAAGTGAGTCAAGGATGATTATCTGGTCCTCCCATTTCTCTCCTTTCCTCCTATGATACATCGAAATGGCCAAAAAAGTGTAATCATCCCATTCTTTCCCTTCCACTTCTTTCTAAATAACTTTATCCAAACAGGCTGTAAGAAAAAATTGAATGAATTATACTCATCCAATAAACCATAACATAATGACTAGTACCTGACAAAACAAAGGCCAATATACTAAACGCAATAACAATGCAATTATATAAAGGAATCAAACTAAGTGGAGAGGCTTGGGAAGCCTTTTTAACTCATGCCTTTATCCAATCAAATTCCTCCAAGTTATGTAACCATGTTACCACTCCCACCTTTATTGCCCATGAAACTACTCAAGCACTCATCTTTAAAAAAAATTAGTCGAACCTATTAACCGGTAGCTTTCCATAATATCAAAAATGGGATGGGGTGGGATGTGGTTTTAATGGGTAATTTTTCCATAATATCAAAAATGTATAGAGTGGGATGGGGATTCTGTGCATTGCACAAGACCGTCGCGAGTAATAAATTTTAAAACAAATGAAAACCAGATAGATTTTAAATCCAAGTGCCACCTTTTCATTTCAACACTATGAAATTCAAGAAAATTTCATAGCAGATTGAAATCTAACCCACAACTTACTGGCCCAATAATAGGTCTATCCAAAAGTATTTCAAACAACAAAAATAAAATTAGGGGAATAAATAAAAAGAAAGTACTTGATTATCAAATAATCAAGTACTTTTTAAAAAAACTGCAATATGCATCTCATCAAATAACAGGGATGTTTGACGGTCCCAGAATTGAATGGGTTTTATCTTCAATACCCCTTGTACACTTCTCATCTTGACGGCCTTTCGGAGAATCTTCTATTTATCCTGACAGAAAATGCACATATATGTAAATGACATGATGAGATACTTACACGCCAAGAAGGAAAGGCCAAACCTCGGCCCTTATACTTGGATCAACACCCTGCATCAAAGATATTAAGGGTCAAAACATCAACAACGATAACAATAATAGCCATGTGGAACAATGCAAGAGGAAATAGCTAATGCTAAATGCAAATAAGGTGGTGTATACATCAATTAAGAACTTGTAGGCTTATACAAGTTAGTAACATACTCCACTCCGAACTTTCTTCAAAAACTTGACTCCACCATCACAGAGTCTTCCGTCTGAATTAAATAAAATTTTCCACTGCTTGAGCAGAAGAGCATGTTTCCTTCTCCTCCGAGACCATGGTGATTTAAGACTACCCCTGCAGACAGATAAACAAAATATATAATTTGCTATCCAAAGAACCATGATAACAGATGACAGAAGCAAATTGGAAAAACAGGAGGAATAAGTTGTTTTTTAGCATACATAATATATCCCTAGTAGCACAACACAAAGTTGAAGTGGTTGCCTTGATAACCCAACCAAATTACCAGGAGGTCAATGACAAAGCCGAGAAGGAAAGGATAAAATCTTTGCTTCCACCCACTTGGTTCACCAAGAAATGTAATGAGGAATCATATAACAAAGCATCTGGGGATTTATGAGTGCCAAAAATGATGTGTTGAGTATAACAAAAATACAACTTCGCTACAAATTCCACATTGTCATGAAAATTCCAAAACGAGTATCAAATTAAATAGACCTCTTGTTAGAGTAAATATTTACAAACACTTATAATGGGGAAAAATCAAGGAGGAGGACCTACATCACATGGGAGATAGGTAAGAAAGGTGGCGTGGAGCAATCGACGCAAACTATAAGATCGAGATCAGTTGAGCAAATAGGGAGACAGAAAATGGCGAAAATATTTTCTTCCTGTTTTTTTTAACTGGGAATCAAAAAACGAAGGATGGAGGAAAAATCAATTAACTCACCGATCAGTGGAAACTGGTGAGGAGGACGAGGAAGCAACGACTAAGAGAACCGATCTCAAATGAATCCATGATGACGACGGTGAAGAGGAATTTGATGAAGATGACGACGGTGACGAAGTGTGACTCCGCCGGAGAGCTCTCATCAAGGGTTTCTGTTGCAACATCATCAATATACTCTATATATATGTCGATATGTCTCCGTTTGGATCGGCTTACTGATTTTATAGGGTTTCAAAAGTTGATTTTGATGACGATTTGGGGATCTTTTCAATTGATTTGATTTGAGTTTTACCTATGAGAGTAGACGAGAGTGGCGGCCAAGGCGAGACCAGCCATGGCCGTCACAGCGAGAGCTATTCCGACATTAGGAGGCGAGCCTACTCCTCCGATACCCAAAAATCCTCCGCCACCACCGACGAGGCCGAAAATACCGCCGCTCCTTCCGTTGCCACTTCCAGTGCCCTCAACGAAGATGATCGCTCCTCCTCTCCGACGACCATCACCACCGGAGATGATGCCAAGTATCAACCATGAGAGAGCCACCAGCAGCAGCGGCGGTTGTGAAATTACTGTTGTACCCTCACTTGTCCTCCTCACTCCCAATATCCTCAACACCATCACCAACTGAAACTCCTCACCCCAACCCAACACAACTGCTCTCCCTTTCAAAAAGTGGACTGAGACTAGATTAAACAAAACTTATTAACCAAACTTTAGTTAATTACTTAATATTACTATATTAGGCAAAATACAGTAGTAGTCGTTCAAGTAAGCACTTTGTGTTAATTGAGTCCCTTATCTTTGAATTATATCAATTTAATTTCTCAACTTCTTAATTTGTGTCATTTGAGTCGAATTGCAAATGACAATTTGAA